TGGAGGGGGAGGGTGGCTGGGGGTGTGTGTGTGTGGGTAGATGTGTGTGGTGGGGTGAGTGCATGTACAAGTGAGTAGGGCTTCCCTAGAGATGCACAGATATGTGTATGGGGGGCAGTTTTTGGGGGTGTGTGAAGGAGGGTGTGGGTGTATGCAGTGTTTGTGGGGTGTGTGATTGTGTGTGGGAGAGGGTGCGATTGTGGGGCTTGTGGGGGAGGGTTTGAGAGTATGATGGGGTGTGCATGGGAGACCCTGTTTGTGTCCCCATGAACCGGTCAGCCCCTGCTCCCACCCTGAAACAATCCAGAGCTCGCATGCCCTGTGGCACCTCCCTGCCACTGCCAGCAGCGCACAGCCCCCAAAGCACCCTACGCCTGCTCTGCACTGCTTGGAAACCCCACGGTACCGGCGGGGACCTGCACATGCAGCCCTGATTTGGCACAGCATACCCCGCGCCTGCTCTGGACTTGCCCATCCAGGCTCACCAGCAGTGGTGCTGGGCAGAAACTGTTGCTCAGCATGGGGAAAAGCAGCCCCCCTCCCACCACTGCTGGGCAGTTCTTGGTGCAGCCAACTGGATCCTGCACTATGCTGGGCTGCCCCACATCAGTGCCCACTCTGGGCTGCCCAGTGCAGCAGCAGTGACAGTGTGGAGCAGCCTCAGGGCAACCTGGGAGGCAGTAACGCAGGGCAGTCTGGCACGGGCTCCAGACAGCTGCACCAAGAACTGCCTGGCAGTGGTGAGGGGCAGGGGCTGCTTTTTCCCTGTGCCAAGCAACAGTTTCTGCGCAGCACTGCTGCCACTGCTGAGCCTGGATGGGTGAATCTGGAACAGGCATGAGGCATGCCAGGTCAGGGTTCCACATGTAGGTTCCCACCAATACTATGGGGTTTGGGGCCAGTGGTGGTGGCAGCCAGAAGGAGTCACCATTGCCTAGGCTGCCTAGAAAGGCAGTCCAGCTGCGGAGCTGTTCCAGCCCCACTGCATGCACAGAGGATGGCAGAATGTGCCATGGCCAGGCGGCGACTGGGCCAGGCGGGACCAAAGGACCCACTGTGGGCTGGACAAATCCCCTCCGCAGGCCATATTTTCCCCACCCCTGGGCTACTCACATGCTTAAAAATCAGTGCATGCTTAATCAGGACATTAATGATCACATCTTAATTGGGATGGGTAAGAGAAGAATCTGTAGCATGAAAAAAGATCCTTGAGGTGTAGTAGCTTGTAGTTTTTCATTACTTCAGCAACACATGACCTTGGTACCTGTCATTCTTTTTGGATGCTCTTCCTAATACTCATGGCATGGATTATTTTATCCTGGTTCAATGCAACTGTCTGTTTGCTCTTTCAGGAAGACTTCCACTCTGTTTATAAATCAAAGCTTTTTGAATTTCCTTTGGATAACCTACCAGCAGGTATGATTTTTAAAAAATAACCTCTTCTTTTTTGTCTTGTCTTAGTTTAATACCAAATTTGTTAATCATATTTCATGTAGTTAATCTTGTCATTTACTTGATTCTTCTTTTTTGTTCAACTAAAAAGGTTTGGAAGAAAAAATAGCAAATCAAACCGCACCTGAACTTTTGTATCACTGAATTTTTAATAAGGTCTTTTAAGTATGGACTGTGTTTATGCTATTATACATAAAGCAGATGCTTTGCAGTCTAAAGACTATTGAAAATAATTCCCATGTGCTAGATATTGATGATCTTTGGTTTCCTCAACCATTAGAGAGGAGTCATCTGCTGGTCCTTGCGTGTGTCAAGGTGTAGGACCTTCTAAGTTTTATCCAAGTTCTGATTCTTAATGTCTGTGCCTCAGTCTTCATCTCTGTAACTGGCACATACAACAAGGTTTGCATATTTTGAGGTTTACTTGCTTAGTAACGGATACTGAAAATGGAAGTGTTAACTTTTAGTACACATGTATCTCCATAAACACTTTGTATTATGTAAAGAGTTAGATAATGTTTAAAAAATAATGTTTTTTTAATGAACTCATTAATTGAAGCTGAGAATTTGACAAGGCAGACAAGCATTGTCAAGTGTATATTGGTTTGCAAATATAATTTCCTACTACATGCAGTGCATCGTAGATAAATCAGATCTGCCCCACCCTGCTTGTTTCTTAAAGAAAAAAATTGTCCAGTGTTGGTGTTCTACAATATTGAGATACAGGAGGTATAAAGACTGGGGCCTTCTTGTGCTGAATTTTCCATGGACATGGATGAGTCTTGGCTCTGGAGGGCAGTGTTCTTTTGCTCATAGATTTGTGGGAGAAGCTGCAATATTCATAGCACCAGTGAACTTCCATCACAGGCTGTAATGATTAAGTTCCCATAAAATCTACTTTGTAAAAGTTTTTTTTCTAAATAAAAAGTGTCCTTGGTAGATTTGCTCATGTACTGATGGCTAGCACAGTGTAAGGGGAATAACTAGCTCAGAACGCAGTTGAAAATTCATTATAAAACTGACTATACACATGCATCAAAGGTGGTTACTCTCTTCAGTTGTGGGGAAAGATGCAAAATGGCTTTATAAACCAAACAGCATATCCAATATGAGGCCAAATAATGGAGTACATTCCTGTATGGGATCTGTTTGCCAGGATGCCCTGTAACATAGCCAAAGATAGGGTGACTGCTGAGTTTGAAAGGAGTCTTTCTAAAGGGGTTACTAGAGCATGAGGCATATTGGAAATAGACTTGGGTGTCCTCTGGGCAAAGGGATTTCCTAGTGGGAAGCGTTGTTTTTTTACATATTTGGGGAAAAATAAATATCAATTTTGGGGTTTTTTATGATTTTTGAGAAGCAATTTTTTGCAACCAGCAACCTGTTACCTTCAAAGAAAGTGTCACATAAGACTTGTCACCTGTGACATTTTCACAAAAATCTTGATTTGGTTATATTTTGCTGACTTTTGTCATCAAAACTAGAACATTGCTGGCTTTACCACCAAAACCCCCACATATGCAATCTGAGTTAGGGAAGGGTTGCCAATTGATCAGCTTGTGGAATATGAATGAAAATAGCTTTTGTATACACATACTTTGCCATGAATATGACACGTCTCATGCCTGCTCATGGTACTTTAGGATCTCACATATAAACAAATTAAAGCAAGAGAATTTGATAACATGTTATAGATTCTGTTAAACTCTCTATCTGCCCCTTCTGCATTCACACGCAATGTTGAACACCTGCCTTGAATTTCAGATGAAAGATTTCATAGTTTCATAGTTTCTAGGGTCGGAAGGGACCTGAGCAGATCATCTAGTCCGACCCCCTGCCATGGCAGGAAGAGCACTGGGGTCAAATGACCCCAGTAAGGTGGTCATCCAACCTCCTCTTAAAAACCCCCAGGGTGGGAGCCTGCACCACCTCACTTGGAAGCTGGTTCCAGACCCTAGCCGCCCTGACCGTGAAGTAGCGCCTCCTGATGTCCAACTTAAACCTTCCCTCCGCCAGCTTGTGACCATTGTTCCTGGTCACTCCTTGCGGCGCTCAGGGGAACAGGGACTCCCCCAGCGCCTGCTGATCCCCCCTAACCAGTTTATAACAGGCCACAAGATCCCCCCTCAGCCTTCTCTTTTGAAGGCTGAACAGGTTCAGGTCCCGCAACCTTTCCTCATAGGACCTACCCTGCTGTCCCTTGATCATACGAGTGGCCCTCCTCTGGACCCTCTCGATGCTGTCCACATCCCTCTTAAAGTGCGGCGCCCAGAACTGGACGCAGTACTCCAGCTGCGGCCTGACCAGTGCCGCATAGAGGGGGAGGATCACCTCCTTGGACCTGCTTGAGATGCATCTGTGGATGCACGACAAGGTGCAGTTGGCTTTCCTAGCTGCCTCCCCACATTGCCGACTCATGTTCATCTTGGAGTCAATAATGACTCCCAGATCCTTTTCCACCTCCGTGCTGACAAGAGGGGAGTTCCCCAGCCTGTATGTATGGTGCCGATTGTTCCTCCCCAGGTGCATCCATTTAACAGTTGTAGAAGAGTTAGGATGGGCTGGAAGGCTTGCTGTCCTGAGTGATAGGCAGGGAAGCAGAGGTGGATGTCGTGGGGTGGAGTTATAAAGTTTTGGGCTGTCATTTGGGGGAGTCTATTGTTGTTTCTTATTTTGTGGTTGTTTGTCTTTTATTGTAAGCTTCCCTGAGCCTTTCTGGATAGGGTGGAATATAAATAGCTACTAATTTTATGTCTATAGAACACGCCAACATTTTTTCATTTTCTGTTGTTTATGTTGATTTTTGTTTTATTCAATAATATATAATAAATATGTATGTGTAACTTCCATTGCCTGATATGCATCTGTGGACAGCACCAATGAACCATTTAAGGGTAAAATTCTGGTCCCATTAAAATCAATAGCAAAGTTCTTATGGACCAGCATTTTAAGAACATGAGCTTTTCTGTCCTTACTTCCTTTACCTGGTATAGTACATTTGCCGTTAGAAGTATACCATATTTCTGACTTTTTGTCTTTTTAAAATTACTGTAGCTGGACTATTTGTCTAATCCTGTCCTATAATTAGGATGGATATTATACCAAAAAAAAGCATATTGCCATGTTTTTTGTATCACTAGTATTTCTCTTCTTATTATTGATCTTATTTGTAGAACTTACATGCCCTGAGAAGTTTTATCCTTAAGGTCAGGATTTTGTTCTCATCCTTTTTGAGTTCTCTTCCTCAGCTAAGATTTTCAGTCATAGCTACATTGTGAATGTGCATTGATATATCAAGAGCCTTTTATGCTGGCAGTAATAAGCTAACTTCATATCAGTACTAATAGAAGCTTACTGTATTCTATTATGGTATTGGCAGCATAGCTTTTTATTTTCTTCTGTTTCATGGAAATTAATATATATATTATATATATTATATATATATATATACAGGGCATGTAAGTTCTACAAATAAGATCAATAAGAAGAAGAGAAATATATATATTGTTAGCAAATAAAATATACTGCAGTGTGTGATGACCTGCAGATACTCCATGCTACAGTGTGAATCTGTCAGATTTTGCTGAACGTGGAGGGTTATAACTTTGAAGAGGAAAGCTTCAGGGATAACTCAAGGTGCCCCAAAAACTGATTTAGTAGTTTGAATGGTGGCAGAGAGGTGCTCTTCTGTAAGACAAACTGAAAGAGAACAAATAGAATAAAGAAAAAGGACCTGACTCTATGAACATGACCCTTATATGTGACTCACTTTAGTCACATGAGTAAAGCCATTTAGTTTAAAGGAGTTACTTATAGCAGTGAAGTAACCTGGGTAAGTATTTGCAATCTTGGCTCCTAGTTCATGAACTATCATGAGATAGTGTTATTTTATATCTAGTCCTGGTGATTATGTTTTGTTCAATCCCACTGGGAGAGAAATATGTGTGAAATTTTTTTATAAAAATGTGGTGTAATCTCCACTGTTTGGGTGAAATAGGCCAGTCATCTGTATTTTGATCTTATGATTTTTACTGTCAGAAGCAATTTGTATGGTCATCCTTGTCACATAGCAGCGATTGTAGTCCTTTCAATTTCTTAAGCTACATTATCTTTTTAGCCTGGTGTTTGATTCATGTGCAGAAATGCTATCTTTCATGCACCATATATGCAGAATCACCAGAAGTGGAAATGTGAGAGAAGTTTAAGACTAGATGTGCAACCAAATGTCTTATGATTGCATTACAAAGCCAAATTGGGGGTAAAGATTATTTGAATTGAAAGTGCCTTGCTTTGCACAACCCTAGCCATAATATTATTCCTCTCAGTCACATTAAGACCAAATTGAAAACCTGAAAGAAGATTTCAGCTACTGATTACTAAAAGGATATTCAAAAGTTGGAACAAATGCAGAGAAGGGAAGCTAGACTATTAAAGAGGACATAGTATTAGATGAGAGATTGTGGGAATTAAATACCTGTAGCCTCAAAGATAGGTGATTAAGGACATAAGAAAATAAATGAATTTGAGACCTATTAATGTACGAAAAAAACTTCTGTTTATATAAAAAATATTGGAACAAGGAATGATAAATCTAAAATGAAAGAAGGAAAAATTCAGGTGGGAAATTAAAAATGATGAGGACTAATGTTGTCTCCTGTTTAGTTCATACTAGTCCCCTCATCATCTCATGGCTTTCTCTGCATGTTACATGCATTATGCAATTACCTAGTTAATTGTGCAAATTAACTATGGTGCCTTAAACGTTTCAACCAACTATAAAGTTATTGTTAGTAATGTGTAATAACTTTATAGCTGGTACCTATCCAGGTTTAATTTGCATGTGTAGCCTGTGCCCTGTGGCTGGGAGCCCCATCAACTGTTTGGAGCTCTCAGCAGTGGGTGCCCATATAGATTGTAAGGCCGGAAGGCACCTTGGAAGGTCATCGGGTCCAGCTCCCTGCACCAAACAGGAAAGATAACTGGGGGTTAGGTGACCTCAGCAAGGTGACTGTATAGTCTCCTCTTGAAGATTTCCAGGGTAGGTGACTGCACCACCTCTGGAAGGAGCTTATTCCACACTCTGGACACCCTGACTGTGAAGAAGTTTTTTCTAATGTTGAGCCTGAATCGATCTTCCAGGAGTTTGTGGCCATTACTCCTGCTTTTCCCCTCGGGTGCCCTGGTGAACAGTTGCTCACTGAGCCATTAATGTACTCCTCTAGTGTAGTGGTAAGCTGCTACCAGGTCCCCTCTCAGCCTTCTTTTCCTCAGGTTGAAGAGTCCCAGATCTCTCAGCCTTTCCTCATATGGCCTGCCTTTTAAGACTCTGATCATAAAGAGGGCTCTTCTTTGGACTCTCTCAAGCTTGTCCACGTCCTTGTTAAAATGTGGTGCCCAGAACTGGATGCAGTACTTCAGTTGGGGTCTCATCCATGCTGAGTAGAGCAGAAGAATTACCTCCTTGGTTTTGCTGGAGATGCATTGATTGATGCATGCCAGAGTATTATTTGCCCTGCTGGCAACAGCATCGCACTGGTGGCCCATATTCATACTGTGGTCTATTATTACTCCCAGGTTCCTTTCATTCATGGTGCTAGTCATTTTGGTGCCACCAAGCCTTTAGGTGAATATGCACCCTCATGCCTGGAAGTTCCCAGCTGATGCTGGCGTCTAGCCATGCGAGCACATGTCCTCATAGCTGGAAGCTCTCAGCTGACAGGGTCCCCACAGCCGGAGCAGAGCTGAGTGGGGCGAGGGCAGATGCAAGCTGCCCACTGCAGGCTCAGGGCTCCCCACCTTGCTGCCTTTTCCTGGTAGCCCTGTGCTGGCTGTGTGCCCCCTGCCTGCCTGGCAGGAGTGGGGGCACAACTCCATGCTGTGACCACCCCTGCTGCTGCTGGTCAGGCAGGGGGCACATTGCCATGGCAGTGTGGCCAGTGTGGGGCTAACAGGGGAGGAAGCCAGGGCAGGGAGCCCTGAGCATGCAGTGGCCAGCCCACATCTGCCCCTGCACCATGCACAAATCTGGGGGAGGGGACACATGCCCCTCTGCCCCCTGAGGGGGATGCAGTGGTGTGGAATCGCCCCTCAATGGCACGCACCCCCTGGATGAGCTGCCCATGGCTCTGTCCTGCTCCCTGGCCTGGGCCCCATGCCCCAACCTGGCTGGGCAGTACCCCCACCCCCTGCCCCACTCCCTCCCTCACCATGGGGGCTTGATCTGCCCTCCCTCCCAATACTCCATTCCTTCCATAGATCTACCTTCAGGGAGCTGCTCTCTACAATGTCTGGCTGTATTCCTAGCCACATGCATGTATGTGGGCTTACACATGCTTGTGACATCCCCTGCATCCCACTCTTGGCAGCCCCTTGCAGGCTGGAACACTGCCAGCCTGCAAGGGGAAACTAACCGTTTCCCAATCCCTGCACAATACTGTGAATCTGGGAGAAATACTGTCTCGGAGTCATGCATCCTGGGACTGGGTCTGTCCCACCTAGTTAGGGATGGGTGGTCACCCTAGATAGGAACTGACTTGCAATCCCACAATCACATCTCCTGCCATTTACATGTAGTACAGTAGGAGGTATGATTGAGTGGGTTGTGCATTGTGTGGATTACACATTTTACTTGTGACCAGCAAGTAAAATGAAATTTGGCTAAAGAATAATCTACTCAGTGTTTCTGATGAGAGATTTTCAAAGTTACTGACAAGGTAGAATTAATGTAAGGGAATATTAAATTTGTTGTGGATTTTGTCAGTATCCCAAAGGTTTAGCTCAATCCTACCATGTCATTCTGTGAAAAAAATGACTCTCAAAGCTTGTGTTCACTTTGTTTCCTTTTCATGGTAATATATGCAGACAGTGCAAGAGTGGGGTGAACTGATTGCTGAATTAATGAAAATATGATTAATTTCATGGTAGCACCATACAAAATTACAATTACAATAACTGGAGTCTTAGTCTTAGAACACCGGTTACAGCTTCTATGGTATGATACCCACATAATGATTGTTTTAACAAAACTTTATTATTAATAGTAGACTTTTTATTCATACTCGGTTGTTAGGAAAGCAGCTGTAACATTGTCCCCAGTCTAGGTAAATATTCAAAAAGTACAATTGTTATCTAATTTAAATATGAAAAAAACATGCCAAGTGAAATGATATACTTTTTTTGTAAAACTAAAGACTTATCTCAGTGTGCTTTCCATGTAGAATTCAAGCAAATGAACACTACATCACAGAAGTTTGTTGTAAAGTCAAGACACAAAAGGAGTAGAAGACAGGTATGAGCTGATATACTAATTTATACTATTAGGATTGGCTAACAGCTATTGAATGACTCTGAAGATGAAATCCTATTGTTTCTGTCATTTTGACATATGAGATATAAATAAACAAATAATCAAGGGAGGGAAGGAATTTCAGTAGCATCCATGGGCAAATGCAGGATTTTGTAAAAGGGGTGCAGGAGCAGTAACCAACATTTCAGGGATGGTTGCACCCTCACTTCTAGCCTCTTTCTACCCCTGGATGGGCAAACCACACCACAGGAACATCAGATGAGGATTTCTTTTAAGTCCCCAAATCAAGTAAGATATCCCTCTCTCCCTCCATTACTCTTTGTGCTCAGTGGCATGTCCCTCCAGGGACAGCGGCAGTGGTGGGCAGTGGAAGTAAGTACAGGGAGAGGAAGGAAGGTGACATGCTACTGGGGGAAAGGGAAGCGGGGAATTCTTGAAGAGGGGAATCTGATTCAGGGATTTAAAAAAGGCATCAGCTGCTGCTCCCATGGCATTGCCTGAAACAGGGGTGTCACTGCACTCCCATCTTGATCCACCTCTGCTAGAGGCTTTTTGGAGATGGCTGAAAAGTGGGGGAAACTGAGGAGGAGGAGGAAGTAGCATTTCAAGAGCGCTGTGTTCACTTGGAAAAGTGCACAATTGTCTCCTGATCTCTGAACTAAACATAAGACTAAAGGCTAAAAGAAGCGGCAAACACATATTTATCACCTTGAAAGTAAACAGGCAATAAAAGAAATTGTCACATAAATGATTTTTTGTGAACATCACTCTATACCCGATAGCACTAAAAGGATTTGCTGCTTTTTCATAAACAGCATGCAGTAGCTGTAGAGCTATAGCAGCAATCATGACATAATAATCCTTGTGGGAAAACCAGAGAAAACAAGGACAACACAGCTGTGAATATCTGTAAACTGGAAGGAAATGAGGCACTAAATTGACTGTGAAGTAATGATTGATTTAGAATTTGAACAGATAATACAGCCTTTTAAGTGCTTTTCTAGCTAAGAGCTGCTTTCTCTTTATATCAGTGTTGTGATCTCCTAACTGATAGCAAACTGTTTCTAAAGATACAGTTGCTGTTTAGGATTTAAAAAAAATCTAGGAGTTCTTGTTTGTTTTTTAAGTGTTTATCAAGCTCTGGAGGAGATGGGGCAGGGAACACTTACCACTTTTAAAGTAAATACCTATCATTCTTCCACTAGCCCTCCAAAAACTCTCTAGATTAATTTTGGAATTAAAGTGTGTCAGGTTGTGGTTTACAAGCATAGACAGGTAGAACAACAATGTGAACACACAATTATTTTTGTAATGTTAGATTCTGAAATAAAATAAGTGAAATGATGGAAGTATAGTAGTATGATTTATACCTGAGACCAGAATAAAGGAAATAAATTATCCTTCTTGCTGTAACAAATTGATGTGTTTTCCATAAAGATTTAAACAGATTTTGAATGTTAATGTTTCTGCAGGTTCGTCGGATTCCACATAAAGTTGAGAAGGAAACAAAATACATTGAGCTAATGATTGTTAATGATCATCTAATGGTAAGACTTGCATGCTTTGCTACTTAAAATTTATTAATATTTTAAAATTGTCTTAAGCCTCTGAGGCAGAAATAATTAGGCATTCTATGTTGCCAGGGTGTAAATTCAGCCTACATCTTAAAGACAATTGATTCTGACCTTGTATTGCTATTGTGTAATTACACAGAAAATACTCTTGATTTTCACCAAGATAAATGAGAACAATCTTAAATTAAATATGAAGAACTAGAATTTTGGACAGTAGTTTCCTGTGTTTCTGGACTCAAAGCAGATCACATTTCTTTTATAGTGTTTTGGATATTATTATGCTTACCACTAATAACCATGCAAATCAACAATGTTTGTGTATTGATGACAGACAGATTTATAATGACTGAATTTACTGAGACATCAAAATACACCAATAGTATATTTTATTGTTAAGCAAGTACCTTTCCAGAGAGCAAGTGCTAGGGCTTTTTAATACAGCTGAGAAATACATAAACCAGAGCCAATAGCTGGGCCCTAAAGCTAGGCAATTTCAAAGAAGTAAAGTTTTCACAGTGAAGAGAATTAATCCTTGGAAAGAGTAGGTAGTTAGCTGTGTCAGTTTGAAGTCAGGTAGAAGTTAGGGCAGGGTAGCACCTTAGAGACTAACCAATTTAAAGATGCTATGAAGGTGGTCACCTACAAAAACCTATCCCTCTCTAAAGCAGTTAGTCCATAAGGGTGCCTGTACATGAGCATGGAGGCTGCTTAGGTGTGCTGTAATTACCGAGCATTGGAACAGACTCAGTTAAACAAGTCTGCTGGAGCGTGGTAGTTATTGTGCTCCAGCAGCTTTCCACGTCTTGTGTATCAGCGTCCCCATGCTTCAAAATGGCAGCAGGGGCACTTAACTAAAGCTTATTGAGTGAGCTATAGTTCAAGTGCCCCTGCTGCCATTTTGAAGTGTGGGGATGCTAATACATGAGATGCTGTGACACTTCAATTAGAGTGGCTGCTCTAATTAAAGCGCCCCCCTCCCCCAGCCCTGGAGCATGTGTAAAAGTGCCCTAAATTGCTACCTTGCCTTACCTTCTGACTAATCTTCAGGAATAAAGGTAGTGACTCCACTTCTTAAAATCTTTAGATAGGGATGGAATTAATTTCTGAAAGATATGCTTTAGTTAAACCCAAATTATGATGTGCAGTAGAAGTAAGTAGATAAAATTCTGTGACTAGTGAATCTCTTAACAGGAGATCGCATGAGATAAGTTAAAAATCCCTTATGATTTTAAACTCTATAAATATATCAGTTGTATCCATCTTTTCTGCTAAGTCTGGTATATTTCAAGGAGTGCCCAAATTTGCAAACATGCCCATCAAGTTGTAGAAGGAATACACTGTCATCATTGGGTGATTTAATCCGTTTACAGCTCTATTTGGTGAACGAAACATAATTTCTTAAATCACAGAGGAAAATGTTGGATGCCATTCAACATTTCCTGAATTATTGTGTTCAAGCCTGGAGAGTAGAGGCCACAGCCTGGACAGTGGTACATGTTCTACTCAACTGAACAGATCTGATTCCTCCAAAGTCTAGTGCTTCTTATATTATGATATTTATGGATATTATCAGAGTCAGTCCACTGTTCCCCTGCACAGACTGTAGACAGCTTTGCAAATGAATTATTTCCTGTTGGTTTACAATATTTTTGGTAAAGGGTCTGAGGCAACGTAACTGAGGCAGGGGTGACTGGGATAGCAGCCCCAGGCACCGCTTTTGTAGGAGGGGTGCAGAAGCAGCCATTGTCACAGTAGTAGCTAAGTGTACAGCTGCAATCAGCATGGCAGGAGCCGGCGCTGCCCTGAGTGCTGTGCGACTTTGGTGGGTGCAGTGCTGTGCTGCTAAGCCTCTGGGATTTACCCAGTCATTATTAATTTGCCTGCACTCTGTATCTGGAGCTATGATTATGGACAATTAGTTACAGTATTGGCAGCGTGCTTTGGGCTAGCATTTGAATAACCATGGGCACTGTGAGATGCAAAGTGCCTTTTTAATGGTCACACGTTCTGTTGTTGAATTTTCAGACACTTCAAACTTGAGAATGTTCCAGTAACTGTGTTCATCTTATCACTTTTCTTGTTTTTTGCTGAGTCTGCAAACAGCAGTAACCTATAACTGGTGAATTTCTTCTTAGCTGAGGTAATCCAGTATGCACTGAGCTACTGACATCACAGCCCTCATAAATCAGTGTTGGAAACTGGCTGTTCAGAGTCAAGAAGTTGATTCAACGTTTCATTAGCCCTCTAACACCACTTGTCTCAGTTTTTATTTAATAGAATATGTTAGAAGCGCCACAACTTGTACAAAACCATCAAATATTGAGGAAGACTAAATAGACATAACTTACCTATAGCTGGCTGCCATATTCTGTCTCTGGTAGATGCGAGACAGCAAGGTGTCTTGTGGCAGCAGAAAATAAACAATCTTATACAAAGATGCTTATTGCCTGGTGATTTAGATCCAAACTTTGCCTTCCCTTGAATTTTGTATAGGCTGGTAATGTATAAAAAGTACCTTTTTATTAATTTCTCTATTTTGGAAAGAGGGATTTATATTAAAAAGCCAAAAGCAATCTCCCTATTGTGAGGAGACCATCCTAAACAAAACATGAGCACCCAGTGATGAATTTCTAGGAGCAGTTACTTCTAAAGATATGCTTCCATTTACTGGAGTGAAAACAAGGAAATAAACTAAAAGCCACACTATTTTTGTCTGCTTTAGATAATTTGGTGATATCAGTATATTCTGAAAAGGGCAAAAATCAGCTGCAAAGATATATTTATCTTTAGATCCCAAAGCCCTTTTCAAAGGAGAGTGGGTGGGGGGGAAACCATCATCCTTCTAATTTTTAAGATGGGTCGATGGAGATTGATTTTTCAGAAGAACTAAGCATCTGCAAAGCCCTTGATTTTTTTAAACTTGTTAGAGCTCAGCACATCTTGAAGATCAGCTCTGTGTAGTTTGTCCAAGGCCACACAGTAAATCACTGCCAACTGAAGTGAAAAAAAAATGAAGCAAAAAAGGTAGTGGACACAGTGACCTTGGAAAAAATCTGAACACATGACTGAAACGAATAATTAAATACTATCATTTTTAAAACATTCTTGTAAAGTCTTTGTATGACTGCTGCCTCATCACAAAATAAATGTTATCAAAGGTAAAATATTTCTTCAGCACTTTTTTTATAGCAGAACTACCAATATTGAAGTATTTGTGTTTAAGGATCCTTTCATGCCCCCTAAAATGTAAGTTGGGAAATATTTTTCAATTGTATTGTGCTTAGTAAAATAAAAAAAGGGCGAGTCAAATCTCGGGTAAGGATTATTATGAGCTCAGGCTTAAAAAACAAAATGACAGATGATAGTGTAACACCCCAAAAGAGGTCATTTTAAAAAAAGACTTGTATGAATGCATCCAGTTCAAAACAAAGAATTGGTGTATGCTTTAGAACATATTCCTTTTTAGGAATAAATATGTTAACATTTCCTAAGTATTTTTTAAAGATTGTACATTTAGAAAAATTTACATTGATGCTGGATTTTATGTACTGAAAATAGTTTCATGCAGTGCTTAAAGCATGTGCATAAATCTTTGGAGGCCTGAGGCCTGAATTTTATGTTTAAGCCTTTTTCTTTAGTGCTCTGTACATTTTATTTTGTTTCTGTGTTCTACCATCTTTTCTCGACTATCCTTGTGCCTGACTTCTCCTTCATGTCATTTCTCTCATGGTTATTTTGTCACCTTTCTTTTTCATCATATGTTTTCTTCCATCTCTTCCTGAGTGTATTTTTCTTTTCACCTAGTCTCTCTTTCCCAGGTTGTTACAGTAGTATCTTAGCTGGGTACAGGCATTCATTTCTACTGATAAAAATTTCTTACTGGTAGAAAATTAGTCTGGGAGCTGGAGTGTACATGTGTTACAGCCCCCTAGCTGGAAAGTTACACATATGAGCTCTCCAGCCAGGGATCACAAGAAGGCTGCTCCCTGGGTCATCACTGCTCTCAGGGGAGTTCATTACCTGGCAGCTTGCCCTCTCCCCTGCCTGGGAAGGAGGAAGACTGTCAATAGGCAGCCACCCTGGTTTTAAATTGCCTCTTCAGCAGCCCAGATGAGCTGCACACCGGGTGATTTAAAGTCAGAGGAACAGAGAAGTGCGGCTAGGGACAACTTTGAAACTGGGTCCTGGCTCCCCAGCTGACCTGAGTGGGTTGTCAGGGAGTCAGAGGACTGTGGGGTGCAAGTGTCTCTCCCTCCTGAAAAGTGTACAAGCATTCAAGTCATACAGGGAGGAGGAAGATCTTCCTTGTAAATAACTTATCGAACATCTTGTGGAGGAGACAGTTTTCTTCTGCAAGAAATCTCTTGATTGTCCCTTCATCTCTCTTTTTCGTGGTGGGAGAAAGGCTTTTCTCTTAGCACAAAAGGAATATCTGCACATTGCCTTAATCTCCCTTTCCTCCTACCCAGGTCAAAAACCACACAGTTCCTTGGCTTATTCCTCTTTTCTGCCTCCTGCTCAGCAAAAAAATCTTTCCTTTTTCCCATCTACAATTTGAAGCTTGGAAACTCTGGATTTCGGACACACTCTGGGCTGCCTGGTACTGGTTGGGAAAACATTTCAAAGAACTCCACAGCAGTCAGGCTGCAGGAGGTCAGATGCGTGTGTACGGTGTGGAGTTCCCAGCTGTTTATGACAGGGTGGAAAAAATGAAGATATTTTCTAAATAGTTTTTCCAGGCTTGTAGTTTCCTGAAACCTTAGGGAGTTTTTTGAGGCATGTTTTTGTCATGGCACCAGAGGGATATATTATTCTGGCTGACCTAATCACTATGTACAGGCATTGTATAAAAACTGCAAACCACCCAATAGAGGCTAGACAGGTGGTAAGGCGAGGGCTTTGGTAGCCCCACAGGGACATATGGGAGCATTTCAGAGCTTCAGGGATTGCATATTCCAGTCACTCTCACTGGTTTTCCAGAGTGGTTAAAGGGAGATTGTTTTTATGGTCCACTTCTGGTGGGTGTTTAATATGGTAAAAATAAACAGCATATGGTACCTTTCAAGAGCAGGAAACATGGACCTGATTTTCAGCAAGTACAGGGCACCTTTTCAGAGTGTTTTAGGTTAGTTTCCAAAACTGTTAGACACATCAGAAAAACTTGGTCTAGGTGTCTTAGGCTTTTCTAAAGCATTTGTCACTGTAACATTTAAGCACATTAAAGGTGCAGAATTATATGAGGGCTGTTCAATAGGTAGAAGGACTTGGGAAGGTTATGTTGCATAGGAAATGTCACCTTTATAGAATAATATTGCAATGTTCTACTGTTGCTGTATCATTACAAATGTGATTTGAGACTGTTACTGTGAAGTACTACAATTTATTTTTTGTAAGGAAAGACAGGTAGGGATTTAGGACAATAATTTCAGGAAAATGTGTTCAGATATATTAGACTGCAAGTGGACAGATTAATATTGACTACATCTGCAAAGCAGTTTCAGGTAAGGGTACTGAAATTATGATAGCATATGCCATATTGGAATTTGACCGTTAACTACTAATAGTTCATGGTTTTAAGGTCGTGATAATGATAACAATTGCAATAAAAATACTTCCATAGAAATTCTATAGCATCTTCACCAAAGAACTTAACTTTCCAAATATGTATTAATTGACCCTCCCAATACTGTACAATGCATATTTGAATAATTTTAACTGTTTTAAATTATAATCAATCCAAAAGATAAACAGCTTGCACACAGCTTTTCCTACAGGTAAATTTATTTTTAAATGCTTATCAGATCACCAAAAATGCATTTATAACTTGTTTCTGTTTGTTTCCAGTGTAAAAAACACCGGTTATCAGTTGGCCATACAAACAGCTATGCTAAGTCAGTTGTGAATATGGCAGATTTAGTAAGTATTACTCAGTTTAGTGCTTTTTTTACATGTGTTGTGAATCACATGGTTATAATGCTGTGGAAAATGTCAGTTCACAGATAATTATAATATTAAGTTATGTGTAGATTTCAGGCGTTTATTTAGGTCATAGTCCATCAAGGGACTAAGATATGTGCTTAAAATATGTAAGAGGAATAATTTCCTTCCCTTTATGTGCTCAGCTGACTTCTTATTGAGATTTTTAAAGTACATCTTACAAGAAGAGACTACTTGTTCAGACTACCATATTAATTACTGCTAAAACTTACAAGGCATCTGGAACGAGAGTACACTAAAATTTATGAGGAAAATAAGTATTTTACTCAATATTGAGAAATACTGGGTAAACCCTACAAAGAGTTGGCTTTCAGGGCTATAAATAATAGAAGGGCATAGTATACATTCCTCACTCTAGAAATATTTACAAGGATTCAAAAATCAAACTATTCTTATGCTTGGAAATCTTTGGTTTGGGATATTCACTCCCCAATAGCCAGAGGTTGTCCAGGTTTCTGGAGAGTTACTCAGAGTCAAAATAAACTTGACTAAAAAACTGCATGACAGTCAAAATTGTAGTGTTGCTGCCATTCAGCAGTGCTAATCTATCACTGAGGTTCATTGAACACTATGGAATACAGATAAACCCTGGGCTTTTCTGAACTCAAAGCTTTAAGGTATCCAAAGTCTAGTGTGGTCCTTCAGAAATTTGTATCAAAACTAACATTCATTTTTCACAAAAGTTTTAAGACATGCTGGAGGCCTTCATAAGATTTTTCAGCTGGCAAGGAGCATTTTGGTGTTTGACTATTGTGGGATCATATAGAACTTATCAGAGGATTTGACCCTAATCTAGATTTTAGCTGAAGTACTTTTTATTTAAAAAAAAGGAAAAATTGGTGATCTTCAGGAAACTAAATGTTCATTACCATAGATTAAGTACTGAATTACCTGAAAAATATAAGTTGTTACCAAAAGGGAAAAAGAAGTTACTATATTATATTCGATATAATATATTTGTTCATTCTGTTAATATACTAGATATATAAAGAACATCTAAACACCAGGATAGTATTGGTTGCCATGGAAACCTGGGCCACTGATAACAAGTTCACCATATCTGAAAACCCACTGGTGACCCTTCGTGAGTTTATGAAATATAGGAGGGATTTTATCAGAGAGAAAAGTGATGCAGTTCACCTTTTTTCGTACGTAACTTTGTATGATATTTTATTACTATTTCTTCATTCCATGGGGGGATGTTATCACAAGTGGCTGGCACATCTTTATATTATCTATGCAATCTACAGTAATGCAAACAGTAGCGCATAAGAATGCCAAGGCTGGGGGACGGGGATTAGAGCAGTACACAAACTAAGCACAAACTGCATGCACTGTGAAGTCTGGTTGTCTTGCATATTAGCTGCCAACACGGATAGCCTGATCGCTGATGCATGGCACTTGTTGCAGTTCTGCTTCTTTCAAGCTCCGATGAGGGGCCATTATCACAACGTCATTGAGAGTTCTGATTAAAGGGCTCAGTATATATTACTGAATACTCTGCATGTTGCAGGATTACTGAGGTTTTCTGTTGCCTCCAAATAATTTATTTTCAAAAAGCGCATGAGCTGTAAGACTCACACTGAGTATTTTTGCTGGGAAAAATATTTTTTGACCTTGTCTAAGTATTTGAACTGTTTTGGCACTGTGATTAATGTAATAAAATACAATAAGTACAGGACCAATAATGCAATAGCACCGTGTCATGGTTGAGACACTGGGTTGGGACTCAGTTCATGCTTGTGTGTGACTTGGGCAAGTCATGTGGGTTTTGTCTATACTGTCTCTGTGCCATACCTGGGACTGCCACAGAAAAGCACAGCCTGCCACCTACTCCTCTTGGTGTGCACCAAATTCCCATACTGAGGCACTGCAGGAAGTACACCCAAGCCAGAGAGTCTGAAAACAGTGCTCAGGTGTGATCCTCAGAGCTGCTATAAGCCAGCTACCACACCTCATTTCCAGAATGTGGTGCTCCATTCCACACGGTGGAGTGCATATGCTCTGTTTCTTTGGTCATGGGCTCAGTATGGAGGCATAGAGCTAGGGCCCCAACCCCAGTTGGTACCTTTAGATTTTAGTATAATGCAAATAATAATTGAAATGAAGGTCTGAAGATATTGAAATCATGGGTAATCTAGAAATCAAAATCTAAGATTGTGTGTTTTCAGAATGGACGTAAACACTAGAATTGGGAGGTCAGGATGGATGGTTGCAGTGGTTTCTTCTGGCCTTGGAATCTGTGGATAGCCCTGTTCATTCTTTTCTTCATGGCTCTTGGGAGAACAGGAGACTATCAGTTTACCTTGTCATGTTGATAAAATTTATAGCTTGGCTTTAAGACAATGATTGTAATCAAATTGTATGCATCAGGGCTTCTGCTAGTTATCTCCAGGGATCAGGATTTTTTTTTCTTTGATGCATCTGATCAATGTGTGTTTTTTCCATCTTGCTTGGAAGCATCAAAAAATGGCCAGAGCTAGGGGTGGGACAACAGATGGGGTGGATCAGTGCCATAGGGTGGTTTGGAGAATTCTCTTTCTTGAATTATGGCATAATAGGAAAGTAAGACTGAAGGGGACCTGACAAAATCATCTAGTCCAGCTTCCTGCTCGAGGCAGGATCGTCCCTAAACAATTCCAGCCAAATGTCTGTCCCAGTTGAATTTCATCTGGTTGACTGAGGACAACTTTTCCAGTCTATCGAAGTCATTCTGGATCCTAGCTTTACCCTTCAGGGTGTTTGCAACACCACCCAACTTGGTCATCTACAAATATGCTAAGTGTGCACTCAGTCCTATTGTCCAAATCATCAATGAAGATATTAAACAATACTAGACACAGAACAGATACCTGGGGAACCCCATGTGATACCTCCTCCCAACTAGATATTGAGCCATAGATGACTTCTCATTGAGCATGATTATCCACCTTACAGTACTTTTGTCTAGTCTGTATTTCCTTAGCTTGTTAATAAGAATGTTGTGAGAAACAGTGTCAAAAAGCCTTCGTAAATTCAAGGTATCTACTGCTCTCCCCACATCCATGGAGCCTGTCACCGTATCATAGAAGGGACTGGCTGTGGTTACTTTTGGGTGTGGTTAGGGTCATACTGATCACCAGATTTGGGGTCAGGAAATAATTTTCCCACGAGCCTGTTTGGGGTTTTTTTAACTTCTTCATCATAGAGTGTGGGTGATTGGCTAGCATCAGCAAAATGCATCTCACTTAACTAGTTCCAGTTCCTCGTCACTGCTGGGGCTTGAGGCCTTAGTCACTTTGTTCTCTTTTATTCTCTGCTCGTGTAACACAGAAGTTTAACTTGCTGAAGACTGAAATGATTTTTCTAACTATATCGCTATTAGGCTTTAATATTGGAGGTATGTGCATGAAATTTAATGATCTGTTATATAGAAGAAGGCATATTAGAATATTTCTTTTTTCTGGTCTGAAACTGTGAAAGTGTGGATCAAAAGAGATTTCTCTCAAAGAAGTTGTGCACCACAGCAGATGTAATCTTTGGCTGTTTGGGGAAAAGCCTCCTCAAAACAGTTATGAACAATTCTTTTTGGTTTTCATAGTTCTGTATTCTGGGGTTTTTTGGGGGGTGAACTGTTTGCAGCTGGCATAAGAAAGGTAAATAAAGGGTAAATGGAAAAAGAATGAGCCTGACATGGTAAAACTTCTTCTGTTTTTTCTTTTTTAAAAGAGGGAGCCGATTTCAGAGCAGTCGCAGCGGTGCAGCCTACATTGGAGGAATTTGTTCACTATTGAAAGGCGGAGGTGTGAATGAAGTAGGTGTTTGCATTCATAGTAGCACGACATTGTGGACCGTATAACACCTGTATTTATGCAAGCATGTTTTTCAAGCATGTCTCTTTGCTTCACTCCCAATACAGAATTTTTATTAATGAAAGAAAGTTCAGATAAAGAATAATACTACAAGGCAAAGTGAATAATACTAGCTGTTTGCAGATATTAAAAAAAGAAAAACCCTGTGCTTCAGTGGTGCTTTTTGGCACTGTTAGCTAAAGCTGGTTTGATCAGCTATTCAATAGAAGTGCCAAAAAAGCCCCACTAAAGTGCCCAATCTTTACAGATGCTAATGAGCTAGGTTGAAGTAATGTGTTGTTGCTTCTGGGCATGCTCCAGGCTCGGCGCAGAAAAGTGCCGAGTTTAAATTAAAGTGCTGTGGGTTTTGGGTTTTTTTTGTTTTGTTTTTTTACATCTGCAAGCACCCGTTGTGTTTATGTTCAACTAAACTTTCCAAGCCAGGGTCCATTGCCTGATTTCCTCCACTCTTACATCCATTCTGGCAGGAACAAATTAAATGTTTTTTACAAGACCTGTTTTAAACATTTTTGTTTTCCTTGCTGGACTGTTAAAGAGGTGAAGATAAATTAGTCTTCACTATTAAGAGTTAAAAAACTGCTTTTTGTTTTATCTCTGTGCTTGCTTTCCTCCTCAGACCTGAAGAAAAATGCTTTGCAATTGAAAGCTTGTATAACTTTATCCCAACTATGCAGTTGATCCAGTAAAAGTTATCATATGAAAGAAAATCTCTCTTTCTCATGTAATTCCTGAACCATCATGGCTACAACATCACTACTTTTCCTTTAAAAATAATCTTGTTTTTAAACTATAAAAACTGCCCTCGTATTTAAGAATCTTTTATCAAAATTATTTTTTCCCCTTCTTGTTTTGTTTCCTTCAGTTTGGAAGGCCAGACTTAATGGCAGTAACCTTGGCACAGTCCTTAGCCCACAACCTTGGCATTTTCTCAGATAAAAGGAAACTATTAAGTGGTAAGTTTGGTTGTTTCCTACCTTCCCAAATTAAGGTCTTCAAGAGGGGGAAGTATTTCCCAATATTGCCAACTTTTGCCAGAATCTTGAAATTTTGGTGATTTAGCATCTCTTTCTTGATAAAATAAGGACAGTCTACTATCACATAATTTTCCTCTTAATTACAATGGCTGCCATCTTTGCTACTCTCAGTAAGGCTGATGCTAGCAAGGTGATGACCTTTTTCCTCCACAGTCTATCAGCATGTGGCAGTAAGGCTGCTATCTCACATTGTTTTAAGTGAAATTGAAACCATGCTCCTAGGCAAAGGGCCCACACACTGTGGTTTTGGAGACTAAATAGATTGCTTTTGGGATAGATGGATTATGAGGAGACAAATAGATCCTGCGATTGGTGAGCAGTTGTGAAAGTTGGGATCTCTACATTCCCTAGCTGTTCAGAGGCGGGTTTCCCCTTCACCTGCACTGAAGTAAGGTGGGGAACTGCTTTTCACTCCTGTCCATTTCCTACCCCAGTCTATCCACATTACTTTGGCCTCCCATATACCTCTATATCTTTTCAAACTTTCCTTCACCCATTTTCCTGGATGTGCCTCCTTCCTTCCAGTGACCTACACCCTATTATTTCCTCTGCTTCTGCTTTAAATACAATTCTTGCTATGAGGAGCTGGTCTTGTGATAAAATGAAAAGCCCCTTTTCCCCTGTGCTTTTCACATCTGTTCAGAGCAGCAGCATGGTGACATGGCTCAGTGCCCAGTGCACATGAGCAGTGGTGACTTGTAGTTGCCACCGGCCCAGTCATGATGGTATGGCTGCTGGTGGCAGATATTTTTGTCTGTCCACCCCCCCACCAACCTCTGGGTTGGTGCCTTTTGTGGTTGCCTTGGTTCCCGTGTCCCACTTAACCACTGTGGGAGAGGGTCTGCATAAGAGCTCTGGCAATGAACCCAGCAGCAACACTTCTCTGCTGCATGCTGCCCTATCTGGGTCTTGGTAAAAGAGAAAAGTCTTGGTGCAAAAGGGGGGAGGGGAGGGGGAATAGTAGGAAACTGCTTCTGGGCTCCCAGATGCAGGCCAAGTCAGTCCCAAGGCAGTAGGAGGGAAGGATAATTGAAATAAAAATTAATTATTTTTAGTGTGTTGGAAAATTAGTTATAATTATGGTAGGAATTATTTGATAATGACTGTAATTACTGGATGATCCATGTATTTACATAGTTTACAGAAAATTTTTTAAAAGAGGGATTTAATTTTTGTAATGTTTTGAATATAAAGAATAGATTATTTTTTTAAATAGTAACATTTAATGATTCTGAATGAGATTACTTTGCTGAGTTATTGGAAGCTGTACTTGGATTGGGTTTTTCCAAGCATTAGCAATGTGGTTGATGTTGTACTAAAAATGTCGTTACATAGAAGATTTTTGCAACTCATGTAAATCTTTGCTGATGTATAATTGCCCAATTTAATTCAACTGAGTATTGTTTTACATGTTTCTTTCACTTTTTTATCCACATTATAGAAAGCTTATGCAAGGGCAAATGAGGATCAGAAGGTATTGGAGAGGAGGGAGAGTAATGCTAACTTCTCTTTGCTTCATGGGAGACAACTGCCCATTTCTCTTTCAAGTGGTCAAATGTATTAACATAATAAGATATCCTGGTTTTCTCTGATAAAAAAAAATATTTTCTGATTTAACCCCCTTCCCCCACAAAACCCAATGTTTTCCATGATTAAAATGAAACACCTTTCTCTCTCTCTCACCAGATACAGTATCTGTACAAAAAAATCTATAGATAGATAGATACTGTATCTATCCAAAAAAATCCAAAATTTTCTGATTTTAACCCTCCCTCCCCAAATCCATATTTTTTCCCTGTAATTAAAACAAAATGTTGCTATATTATATATGTAGATAAATATATAGATAGATAGATAATCTATCTGCCTAGATAGATAGATAGTATCTCTCTCTCTCTCTCTCTCTCTATATATATATATAGAGAGAGGGGCATTTTGTTTTAATCACATAGAAAAATATGGATTTGGGGAGGGGGCAGTTGAAATCAGAAAATTTTGGATTTTTTTATCAGAGAAAACCAGGATCCATGCACATAATCAGGTTAAATTGAAGAAAGTGTTCTGACTTGCTCTTAGCTTGGGCTGTAAATGCTTCTTTCCCAGACCTGATGGAAGGGTGGTTTGAAGCTCTAATTCTCATCTCTTTTCTCTGTCAAGTGTGCAAGTTGGTCCGATAAAAATATATATCTCACTTCATAAATCCTACTTCTTTTAAAATAAGAAAGTTTATACATAACTATATAATAATTTTAAACTTGTAAGACTCAAAGTACGAATTTAATCTTTGTCTTTTGTTAGGTGAATGTGAGTGTGAGGATACATGGTCTGGATGTATAATGGGAGACACTGGGTAAGACACATCTTGAAAGAATTTCCCGTACAATGCAGAGCTATAGCTAGGCATTTAGTTGCCTGGGGCAGGTCATGTGCAGAGCACCCCTCTCCCCATTTTATGTTGCATAACATTACTTCCCTTTGATTTGGCACACTTTGTCCTAGGGCACCCAGTGCACCACTGGCACCCCCCTTGCTAACGGTGCTGTTACAGTGATACAAAGGGAATGAATCACCTTCAATGTATCTATCTATCTATCAAGCTATAGATATACATGTATCTATAGATAGATAGATCTCCTAACATGTTTGAGGATATATTAAATTCAGTGCAACATTTGCTAGTCAAATATTTGCATTATTTAGGGCATCAATTCTAGGCATGAACATGGAGAAGGAACTTCAACACTTTAATTACAATGAACTATACAGAATTACAGCAGTCTTTGCAACATTATGTATGTCAATGTTATAAGAAGAGAAATCAGATTTGGCCTGTTTTCTCCAGTGGCCATGAAGATGGAAGGCTGAAACAATTAATGACATATCCAAGTTCTTGCTATCCCCTATTGAAGTTTCTCTTACATTCCTTATTTCAATACTATTTGAATTTAAATTGCTAGGTGAAAATCTTTCAGAAATATATTTAAATTATTCATTACTTATCATAGTCTATTGGAAAAATTAGTGTCGATATATAGACATGTTCTTGGCTTCATACACTATGTTTTCATTTTTACTGTATTACTTTCAAAACTGAATATTTTAATTTATGAATCTTTAAAGCATGAGACTATTATAACATAAATACATTGTAGAAGAATATGAAGCTTGTTACACTTCTCCATTGAATAAGGGCCTTATCATAGAACTGTTACCCTTGAATCATATAATCATGGAAAATTAGGGTTGGAAGAGACCTTAGGAGGTCATGTAGTCCAACCCCCTGCTCAAAGCAGGACCATCCCCAGCTAGTTCATTCCAGCCAAGTCTTTGTCTAGCTGGGTCTTAAAAACCTCCAAGGATGGAGATTCCACAGCCACTCGGAATAACTTGTTCTTGTGCTTTACTTCCCTCCGCGTGAGAAATTTTTTCTTAATATCTAACCTGAACTTCCCTTGCTGCAACTTGAGACCATTGCTCCTTGTTCTGTCATTTGCCACCAATAAGAACACAGTCTAGTTCTATCCTCTTTGTAACTACCTTTCAAATATTTGAAGCTGCTATTAAATCCCCCCTCAGTCTTCTCCTCCGCAGACTAAATAAACCAAGTTCCTTCAGCCTTTCTTCGTAAGTCATGTTCCCCAGCTCCTAACCATTTTGGTTGCCCTTCATTGGACTCTTCAATTTATCTATATCCTTTCTGAAGTGGAGGGCCCAAAATTGGACACAGGACTCCAGATGTGGCCTCACTAGGGCTGAACAGAGGGAAATAATCACTTCCCTCTGTCTTCTGGCAATGGTCCTACATATGCAGCCCGGTATGCTGTTAGCTGTCTTCGCAACAAGGGCATACATTCAGCTTATATTCAACAACATTGGCTCATATTCAGCTTATTATCCACTGTAACTACCAGGTCCTTTACTGCAGAGCTGCTTCTTAGCCAGTTGGTCCCCAGCCTGTACTGGTTCATAGGATTGTTCTAAATGCAGGACTTTGCAGTCAGTGTAATCTAATTTGGATCAGTACTGTGTGCCAAATATGGAAAGTGTTTTCTGCCAGGCCAATAACTATCTACCTCTAATTTTGTTATCAAAGTAATTTCTGAGTATAAAAAACTGGTGTGCATACCAAACTGTTTGCAGATACAAATTTATCTGAAAATTCAACCCCATAATTTTTTTATCTGTTTTCAGTAGATTTTTTGTGATAAATGTGCCTGTTGATTATACACATTTGCTGCTTAGCTAGATGTAGATGTCTTGAAGTGTTTTAACTGGAGTCCAAAGTTTTCAGATATTATATTAAAAATATTAACTTACATTTACACAGTACTTGACTTCCTGATAAATCCTAACTGGTCTGTAACCCTTGTAAATTGAATCATATAAGCATGAGCTGGGAAAGACCTATAATGCTTTTAGGCCTTTACTCTTGCTAATGCAGAATGATAATCATAATTCTTTGCTAATATTTTTATCCAGTGATCCTGATTCAGGACAGCATGAATCAGCTTATTTCACTGAAGTATGTAAGTGCTTTGGGAACCAGGATCTCAATATAGAAATCTCTTAAGCTATTCTACATAAAATTTATTCCTCCAAAAAAGAATGTATACAGGATTGTGTGTCACTTAATCCATGAGTACAGACTGGTTAAAAGTTTCTTTTTTGTCTTAAAACTGTTAGGGACACCAAAAAAATGTCTTGACCCCACAAACAGTTCTAATGAAACTATTTTTATAAGTAAACACTATTTATATCACATTTATGATTTTTCTCTAGGTTCTTTAAGTAAGTTTTTTTAATTTCTCACCCCTTGACTATTAAAAGTGTGTCTGAATTTGCTCAAAAGGCTTGCAGGTTAAAATCGGAGTCCTGATTTGCAAGTATATACTTTTACTGCATGTCTCTGAGCCAAGTACCCTCAGATTCTGCTTTCCAGAATAAAACCATATGCTTCCCCCCCTATATTTTGTAAGCATGTAAAATATCTTGTAATGTTTAAAAGCAATTGAAATTGTAATAAAAATCTGTATTTCTTTGCAGATATTACCTTCCTAGCAAGTTCTCCAAGTGTGACATTGAGGAATACCATGAATTTTTAAACAATGGAGGTGGTGCCTGTCTTTTCAATAAGCCATCCAAGGTAATTATTGGTATATTATTCGAAGAGGGAACATTCACCAAGGCATATTTGATTTCTTACCATTCCATAGACTTATAAACATTTATTTGCAGCCAAACCACTGAGAAGAAGAAAGTTACCTTTCTATCAATGCTCAGAGGGTGAAATTCGGCCTGTGCAGAAGGGTTAGCTTAAAGCATGTATGTCACTTAATTTTTATGAATCATAACATCTGTAAGCCACATGAGATCAGAGAATGCTTTCAGTCCTAATGCCTGTGTTTGTTCAAAGCTAACAATTTGCTTTAGTTAGCAATCTGTTTGGGTAAGAGTTTTCTTAAACTCATGTTTGGTTTAGTTGTTGGATGGACACACGCTTTTTACTGAGTAGGAAGAATATTATGTGCATCCTTTATCTTTATAAAGTCTGGGGTTGCCAATAAATGCCTACAGAGATTCTAGGAAAAGTTATTCTGTTTGAATAAAGTAGTCCTTGTAATTTAATTGAACTCACACCATTCCAAAGCTGGCAAAGTTCAAGATTCAAAGTCCTCTCCTTTCTGCACTCTCTATTTTCAAGTATTAATTCAAGACAGCGAAAAAAATGCTATGCGTGATGTTATTCCTGATGTTATTCTTTTCCTAATCCATATGAAACGATCCATCTGAAGAGCAGAAAAGAGGTATCATGAAAATACCTCCCCCGTAATTGGGAGGTTTCCAATCTTTCTCACTTTTTAGGTATTCCAGTGATAGCTGAATGAAAGTTAGGGCTTTTGGTTCATAAAGATTTGGGGACAAATTTTCACTGGTATAATTTTATGGGGGTTCATGCATTCTACCATCCCCCTGATTTGCTGGAGTTTCAGAGTTAATCCCCAGAACTCAATGGGAAACTGTAACAGGGTGCCATCTCAGGGTTGGCTGTAAAGCCCTGGGAGGAGAAGAAACTTTCTTGCACCCTGCTATCAGGACAGTCTACCCATCTTTTTCCCACCAAGCCTTGATGTAAATTATTATTAAAATATGGGGTGATGCCCTGATCTTACACTAATGACCCCCAGGTTTCAAGGGTCAATGCCCTAGAAGCAAACTGTGTGGCTCCATTCCACCCTTACACCATGTCCCATGCTTTGCATGTGTCTTGAATCGGGACACTTGGGGTACTTGCCTTTACATCTCCAGGCCACCTCAGGCTTTCTGTTCCTTGTTGGGGTTTTAGCTTTCCCAGTTTCTGCCCTGTTACTTTGGCTGGTTCCATAGACAAAGCCCACTATTCTAGACCTGGCTTCCAGGCCCCAGCCCCCATTTTGCCTTCTTTGGCACCAGTCCGCTTGTCCCTATTTCTTCCCTGCTCCAGACTCAGGGCTCTGCAGTCCCCATGCTGTGCCCTGCTCTTGGCTCTGGGCTCTGTTGCCTCCACACTCTGCCCTGCTCCAGGCTCTGGGCTGCCTGCCTTGTTACAGGCTTTGAAGTAATTATGGCTTATCTGTTGCAAAAGAAACTAGTACCCTGCCCTCTTGTATTTCTGCAACTTGTATTCATCAATGACTTTTCAAAACAGAGTTTGCAGGAAGTTGTGATTTTTCAAATACTGAAGGAGACAGAGCAGAAATTCAGAGTAGAGTAAGAGCAGCACTCATTAGGCTGGATTCATCCCAATCTCACTTCAGAGTTCCCTGGGAATTGTGTTTGCACTGCCACATTATCCTCTCTCACCAGGACCTGTAGAGCACAAAAAAACCTGTGGTAAATTCTTGCCAGCACCTTCAGCTTTAGCTTGTCTGTTTGGACACAAATTTAGCAAAATTTAGTAAGCACTCTTGCCCATGAACCCTGGGGGATAGAGAGGATCAGATGGATCAATTCATGCCCTTGATCTGCCTCTTGCAGATGGAACTGAATGGGAATTCCTTGAAATCCCCAGAGAGGGGCTTTATCATAGCTGGGAGAAGTGGAATATATTACTCTCCCTTTCTCTGGAATTCCTCATTGTGCTAATGGAAGCAGAAGACTGAGTATGAGGTCACCCAAAGATTATAGAAAATAATCTTTAAAAGAAATTTAAACTATATGAAGTAGAAACACTTATAGCAAAACTTAAAGGAAAAGCAATATAATGTAACATTAAGGAAACCATAACCAAAAGAATGAGTATTTGTAAGATGGTGGTTCTGCAGTAGAATGCTTAAGGAACATCTGCTTCATTAATTAAACTAGCAGTCAACACCAAAGGTAGTCAGGATGAGGATCTTGAATCTTTTGTTTAAAACTGATGCTATCCTATACAAAATTAATGTGCAACTTGTTGGGAACACATGCAAACAGACTAACTTGGAAAAGGGACATGGCAGTTTACTTAGCATCTGACAGAGTATGCTGTTTCCTACACAAGCCCATGTGTCTCTGAAAGTGGCACCTTCTCTAAGGTTCTGTCTACCCTGTCCTACCTTCAGGAGGTGGCATTTTTATCAGCGTGAAAGAAAACAGTTTTTTTTAAGCTCATGCAGAAACAATACATTTATGACAAGTTCCACAGCCACAGTATTGCAGCAAATACAGAGATATATCATTCTTCAGATGGATAACTGGGATTGCAAGTTTTATCCTTCTCACTACAGGAGGCCTTCTTGTATTCAGAAGTAAACAAGAATGCATTTACTGCTTCTGTCTCTTGACAGAGCAAAAATCATCTCCTGAGGCTCAGATACTAGATGTTCATTTGCTTCCCTCTGTCATATGCTGTTATAGCTTTTAAAGAAAATAATCATTAATAAAAGGGAGAGTCAGCCTTATGCATGTGTAATTGCATATTTTGAACACATCCCTCCTTTTTACAGGCCTGGATTTTTTTAATTGTAGCCCAGGTATACATAGGGTATGTTCCCCCTTCTCTGATTGAAGAGGATCACAGCAGGCAGAGGTGCTGTGGGAGGGGACTGCAAGCTGAACAGTCTCCCGCCATTCCCTATAGAGTCAGGCCAGGACCAGACAGCATTAACTATATACAGGTTTATTAATGGACATATGAAAATTCAAAAGAATAGAGTGAAGTTTACATATATAATATATATCTCTACACAGTCTACCAATTTGCATTAAGGTTATACTCTATATTTGGATTGTTCCCTTTACTAAGGCTTCAAACCCCCACAGGTGATTAACTAATTTAGGATAGGTTCATACAGGTAAATACAACTAGTCATAAGAATAAACACAAGAGAACTGTAGATAAGTACTATAACCCCAGGGGAAATATTGTCAGGGATTCAAAAAGATAAACATATACCCATGCACATGTATATAATAATTGAATAATCATAATTGACAATAACAAAATATGAGGTGCTTGGACAAAATATAGGGTGCTCACACAGCCTTCAAGGTATTCCGTGTCCCTACAAGACTTTCCCTTTAATGGCAAAGAGCCTTGTGCAGCTCCAATGTGGGGAAGGTCAGAGTTCCCGGGCTCCTCAGTCCCTTGTGGGCTGGGTTGGGATCCCTGCCTCACAGAGACCTCTGCTAGCTCCCCCTTCCAAGGGCTTCCTCCCCTGTGGGAACCCTTTCCCCATTAACTCATGGCTTCAGTGGAGTGGGGTTATCTTTGGCTGTCAGATGGAGGGCCTCTTTTTGGCAGGGGTGTTCCTCCACTGCCTGGGGCTCTCCAGTCCTGCGGGCCAGCTCGGAGCCATGTGCACCATTTGGCTCTCCCTGTTGCCCAGGATTGGAGGCCTGGGCTGCCTCTTGTGACTCCATGGCAGAGTCTTTGTTGGCTGCCTGGCCGCATGCCAGGTGCTAATGACCCGAGCCACCAGAAATGGCTTCAAGAGTCCTGAGCCGCTCCCGGATCCTCCGTGCAGTGCTATCTGCACTGGGGTCCCTGGCCACCTGCCAGAGGTTGCAGACCCGAGCTGCCTCCCAGGGTCTGAGCTCTCAGGGTCTGAGCTCCATGCACTGATTTGTGCACCGCGCCTCTGGTCACATACCAGAGGTGCAGACCTGAGGTGTCTCGAGCAGCTCCCAGGGTCTGAGCCCTGTGTGCCACACTGTGCATTGACTGGGGCTGAAGCGTCGATCTGGTGAGGAAGTCTTCGGGGCAATTCTGGCCACTGGCTTCTCCCACTGGGCAGCTCTTCCCTAGGTCTTCTGCCCCTCTGTCTCTTCTCTGTCCTGTGATGCATCTGCCATGTGCTGGGCACGCAGCTCCTTTTATTCTCTTTCGAGGCTCTGCCCCCTAAAGTTCTGCTAGATGGGCAGAGGGCAGGCTTGAACCAGGTCCAAGGCTTCTTTTTTTTTTTTGCCCCAAGCAGGGGTGGAGCAAAGCCCCTCCCAGCAGTTACCTGATTGCGGATGGGCTCTACTAATCATGAAGAGGATTCTCCGAGCCCAGACATGCTGGGCTATATCAGTAAGTTTGCCAGATTATATAGAAACAGAAGAAATATTGATGGGAAATTCTCTTTACGTGGAACACTGCTTTTTTTGTGTGACATAGTGCTGTCTTTTTTAAATCACCATGGCTTTGTATGAATTTCAACCTTTATATGATGTACAATCAGTAATAGTAAAAGTGTTCAAAATGTACAATCATTTTTGAGGCA